TCGCCTGATCCTGCCACGTCTACTGGACCACTTCAATCGTGCGCCCCCCCCCTTACAAGGTGACTGGAGCGCCCACCCCCCCCCCCCCCCCCCCCCACCTCACTGGGCGCTGGGCCGTGTCCTCGCCCCTGTGCTCCGCCCCCCCCCCAGGCCCATGATGTAGCCAACCCCCATTCCAGTGCACGGCTGCGGACCTTGTAGGCGGATGTGCAGGCCACAGGTGGCAGCCGTGGGCGCGTCCTCCTGGCGCAATGTCACGATGGCCACGATGTCCACTCCGAGGCGGCTTGGGCGGGTGTTGTCCTGGGGGGGACTGCTTGGCGCCGTGGCGGTGGGGCTTTGTTCCTGGACGTGAACTGCGATCCACACACAGGAGGCAGGATCCACCAAAGTCGCGGGCCAAGGACCGGGTATGGCAGCCAGGAGTCCGCGGAGGTTAACAAAATGCACGGGCATACGGCAGCCCGCCTCTCGCCCGGGCGCACTGGCCTGCTTTTGGGCCCGAGGATAGAGGGGAAGGAAAGCCCCCCCTGCCGGCCTAAAAAAAAAAGCCACACGGCCCGGCCGGCCGCGGTCGGCCTCCAATGCCCCGACACACGCACCCTCGATCAGCGAACGTTTTGCCGTGAAGCCGGCCAAGTGGCGATGGATGTCGGCAAGCGCGCGAGTGATGCACAGGCTGCCGGTCAACTCGATCCACGCGGAGAGCGTGGTCTCCGATGGTTGCGAAGCCCCAGGCGACTGGGACTGGCACAGGAGCTGAACTGCTTGTCCGCGAGGGACCGCAAGCACGGTATGTGTGTTGCTGCCGCTGCCGCTGTCACTGCTGCCGCTGCTGCTGCTGCTGCTGCTACAAGTGTCACCACCTGCCGGCAGGGGGGCGGAGCCGTCCGTTGAGCGGAGTTTGCCGCGAATCTGGGCAAATGCCTGGTGCAAGAGGCTGGCCGCCGCTTCTTCGTCCTCAGGTGAGACTGCGGTGAACGGGGCCCCAAGTCAGGGAGCAATGCGTCGAGAGGACAAGGGGACGGGGGGCCGCGAGGGGGGAGATGTTAGTTCACAGGCCAGAGCGCCCTGGCTGGGCAGGGGTGAGATACTGTCTCGCGGGGGGGGGGCGGGGAAGGGTGCTCCAGGCAACGGGAGGCGGGGGGGGGAGGGCGGCAGGGGAGGGGCTGGCTTCTCTGGCTGGATGCGCGGAGGAGAGCCGGCGGCCACAGCAGCCGGCCGGGGAGGGGCGGGCGGAGGGGGCGGCGCGGAAGAAGAATGCTGGACGGGCCGGGAGGTGCTGAACCAATGCCGGCGCCCAGATCCCAGGCTGCCACCATTGCCCAACCGGTGCCCCCCGGCCGGTCGGCCCTCTCCTCGCAGCATCCGAGACAGGCGGCGCACGAGGGGCAATGAGGGGAGAGAGGGCGGAGGGGAGGGGGGGGGGGGAGGGGGCAGGCGAGCCGCGAGAAGACAAGTCGCCACGCCGCCGCGAAGGGGCTGCTGCACGGAAATGCGCCCGAGGGGATGCCCCAATGGGGCCGCGCATGGGAGTCGCAACGGGGGAGGAGAGAAATACCAAGTTCAGGGAGGATAGCAAAAAGGGCGCAAAGGAGGGGTGTGGGGGACAGACTGTGCGCGGATGAATAGACTGGCCCGAGGGGGGAGTCCTGAATACGCGGCGCGGGCCGAAAAAAGCCCCTTACATCTGCTCCCCCCTC